CCGTGTTTTAGCCCACTTGAGGGTGGCAAATTCAAACCATTTTCGAAAACAAACATAAGTTAAGTTGTTCCAATTCTTGCGATTTTAGTCCATATTTGCTTGTGTGCGTCACATAGTAAAGTTAGCTAATAACCGGAATAAGAATATATGAGGTTTATAAAATAACATATCATGCTTAGTAGAGGCCGATCTTTTGATCGGGCAAGCGAGGGTGCTCATTTCAGGACCTTCCCCTCTCGTACCTGAGCCGAGGCAACTTTGGTGATGACGGACACGTGGCCTTTGGCATGAGTCAGGGTTTCCTAATTCCCCGAGATAAAATATTTAGGTGGCAACTCTGTAATCTGGCAAAGCAATCCAATTTTGGCATTATTTGATTTAAAATCTGATTTTCCAAAATGATTTGCCAGATTGGACTCTTTGGTGTTTATCAGTTTCACGTTGCACTTTGTGAGATTAGATTCCGAACCGTGACAGGAGTTCGAACTGTAGGACCAATTCGAGCTCTCCGAAAGGGGGTGCGAAGAAGTCGAGCTACAGTTTCTGGCGACTTTGCTGGGGATTTAGAGAACTTGACTCGAACTCATGATATGTTGTTTTATTTACACTTATGTGTTTCTTTGCATTGCATTTGCATTGGTGTGCCTAAGTCATAGTGTTTGCCATCTGCTATTCCTGATCGGTTTGCCGGAGGCGTGCTTGGAAAAGCGCGCCTTAAGGCTGACCGGTTACGGGTTTTACCACGATGGGAACACAAACCTTGGATCTGGACTACCACTATACCGTTTGATCCTTCTTTCATTTCTCGTTGTTAGGAGCGAGCGGTATATTAGGTGGTCATGTTGAGGCACCCTTTTCGACCATTCGACCTAGTTGCATATCGGAAGCCATAGAGACTGTTCCAAACTAGGACAGGTTGCTCACCCGAATGTAGGTTCGTTTGAAACCGTTTGATTGCGTAGCGAACCCCTAGTTCCTAACGAAATTAGGACAGGGAAGCCCTACCCCACCATAGGGGTGTTTTGGCTCTTACTTGTTTGATACGTGCTTTTAGAGTGAAACTCTACGGGAATGTATGTATCAGTTACAAGTCTGGGTATCAGTTTGAGGGTATCAATTTTGAGACAGAGATGTGGGGCAAAAAACAGTGTTTGAGTGCAGTCGTCCAGCTTATGATTGCAACTATATGTTGTTTGTGTCTAAGCCGAGGAGCTGTCCATTTTCTGATTTTCTGTTTTTTTTTTTTCCCCTTTATTTTCTTTTTGCAATGTAGTATTTCACAATTGCTTCAGACGAAGCAGTTACCCCCCGAGCACATTGGACCCGAGTTAGGAGGCTTTATCGATCTGGGGATCTTATAGGAGGACAACCCGTGTTTGCTTCGCTACCCTCGGTTATCAGACGGAAGACAGTTAGGCATAGTTCGCCGGTTCAACGGTCACTATCTACTTCACCTGTGCTTAGTCGAGCCCAGTTTTCTGCTTCCACTTCAGAAAGAGAATACGCACTGGATCTGATAGATCAGCACCCTGTAGCTAGTATGGAGGATATGATGCGCCAACTCCAGCAGACCATTGAGGCCATACAGCGGGACGCTGCTCGCCAAGCGGAAGTTACCGATCGCCAAACAAAGATTGCAGCCCAGCAGGCTGAACTGATTACTAGGCTTCAACAGCAACAACCACAACAAGCAGCAGCTTCTGCTTCTCATCCAACCCCAGCCAGGGTTCCAATACCCGGGGATACAACTAATGTCCAGGAGAATGCGTACAATCCGGTAGAGCCAGTCCCACCTCAGACTTCCAAAGCACCAGTTTACCCAACGGAGGCACCGTTTGAGTTTGAGGTCGATTCTACCGCTCTGAAAGTGAGCAAGCTTGAGAAGCTTTTCAAACGAGCTCAGGGTGTCAATTCGATCCCAAATATAGAGGACGGCTACACAGATTTGGCAGTGACATTGCCGGATAGATTTAAAATCCCACACATAGACTGCTTCGGCGGTTCGGGTGATCCCGTGGTCCACTTGCGGCTATTTTCAGATATTCTGCGGTCGATAGGCCCAACTAGGCTGTAGAAACTATCCCTCTTTGGCCGGACCCTGTCGGGTATCACGGCTATTTGGTATGCTAAACTGGAAGATTCTGTGAAAATGAGCTAGGAAGAGATGGCCGAGGCCTTTATTGCTCAATACTCTTATAACATTCAAATCGAGATCACAACTCGTGATCTCGAGGCAACTCGTCAAGAGCCAAAGGAGGGCTTCTATGATTTCGTCACTCGGTGGAGAGCCAAGGCTTCCATGATGACCACCCGACCAGTTGAAAAGGATCATATCCGAATGGTCGTTCGTAATCTGCAGCCAAGGCTGCTGTAGAAGATGATAGTCCTACCTCTACCTACATTTGTTGACCTCCATGAGATAGGGGTACAGATAGAGGATTCAATGAAACAGGGTCTGATTAACCATGAGAAAGGGTAGCCCAATAGGGCTTTTGCACACAGTTCAAATATAGTTACCAGTAGTAATGCAGCTATAAGGACCTCTGATGTTGGTATGGTCACCACCACACCGAACACAGCCACCCCTTTTACCGGTGCATCCGGAACCACCTCACAACCTACAAAGTACCCACCCCGGGGCCAGAGGGTTTTCACCCACTCTATATGTCTCTATCTACGGCCTTGAGGGTCCTGATAAAAAAGGGGCATCTAAAGCCCCTAGAGCCGTGTCCATTGCCTAATCCCCTTCCTCCTAAAAAAGCACAGACTTGTGCATGATGAGCATGTCCATACCCCAACCCGAACCCATGGTGGTGCCTGTGGTAGAAGAAGGCATGCCTGAGGGCTCTATAAACTTAATTGAAGAGGCATACAACCCTTGTCACTAATATTGCACCAGCCGATTAGCCCAAGACAGAGGTGGAATTGCCAATGGGAATGGAGGTCAACGTAGTCCGGGAGGACGGGCCAAGCCATGGGTTGGATGACTTAGCTGAGCTTGAGGAGGACATCAGTAATCTGCAGTTCTTTGATGAACAGGATCTAGGGAATGTACAGATTGGTTGGTTTGATATGAACGGATCAACGGATAATGCAGGGTGGCTCAATGATGAACCAGATGTTGATGAGGGGTCTCAACCAAGGTAGGAACAACTAGAAATAGGAACTTCTGCAACGGCCGGAATGGTCGACGACATGGATTTTACATCATTTTATAATTAGCACCATAGTTACTTTAATATAATATATATGTTTAGTCCAAGCGAAATCGTATTTGAATTCTGAATTTCAGTTTCAACAATGATAGATAACTCTAATTTTGTAGCTTTAAAGAGAGTTCTAGTGATGTGATAAGAGAGAAAAATATAAAAACAAAAACAAAAACATAGACACACACATCATATCACATGTGGGTTCTATTATTTACTACATCACTAAAACTCTCTTTACAGTTTCACAATTAGAATTCTCACTCTTTATTCGTTTGGTTTTGATGGGGTCAACATTCTAGAGCTAATGTCCAAAGTGTAAATCAGCTTAATTTTCTACAATGCGTGATAAAACTCTATTTTAAAAACATTACACGTGAAAATTAAGAGAGAGAGAGAGAGAGAGAGAGCGCCAACAGTCAAACCAGGGCGTTGCTATTTTTGACCTAGGATGCATTCTGGTAAGGTCCCGTTTCAGATAAATTCACACACACTACCCAGTTGGATGACTTTTCATCCTTCTTCTTTCTTAGGGGTATTTAGTTCATACATTTGAAAGAGAAAGGTAATAGATTTGGAGAGGAATTATCTTTTTCTTTTTCCTTTTTAAATCTCTCCTCAAATCTATGAATCAAATACACTCTTAATGTTGTGTTTGATTGGAGGATTTGAGGAGGGATTTAGAAAAGAAAATGAAAAAATTAGGTGAAATGAAAATGAAATATACATTTTACCTACTTTCACACATCTTTTTTCTTTCCCTTTCTAAATCCCTCCTCAAATCCCCCAACCAAACACAACGTAAAGGAACATGCTATTTTTTGATGCCCCAAAAAAAAATGCTATTTTAATTAATTTTTAGTTCTTTTATTAAAATGTGAGATAAGAAAATTTAATTTAGAATGAATTTTTTAATTTTTATAAAAAAAAAATTTACAAAAAGTAAAATGAATGAAAAAGAACTTTTGACTTTTAAACTACTTAATGTAATTCCCAAACAAGCTCTAAAATTGCCTCCATTCTCATTCCCATTCCCAAGAAGTTTCCTACCAATTTTGTAACATTGTATCATCATCATCATTATAATCATATATATATATATATATATAATATGAGTTATGCTACAAGGTGTGTAGCCTAACAAGTTATGACATTTGTAGGGTTAATTATCACAAATGCTATAACTAAGGGTTGGTTTAAAAATTCATTTTTTTAGTTTCATTTTTATCTTTTACGGAAAAATATGTTAAAAAAAAAGAAAAAGAAAAAAAGATAGAAAGATTTGGCAACTTGTAATAAACTTTTGAATTTTTAGCTAAAATCCTTAATTCCCAAACAAGGTCTAATTCCTTGGGATAATGAAAATGTCAGAGGTTCAGGATTTGAGTCGATAGTGTGATTACATTTATTAGTACCTTAACATCATATTATATGACCCAAAAAAAGGCCTAAATCATTTTCAGTCATAACTAAAAAATAAATAAATAAATAGCAATAACTAAATACCCAATAAGGTATAATAAAAAACTAACATCACAATTAGTCATAACCAAGTGACAACTATCATTACAATTGGTCATAACCAGAGACACGATAAATATCACAGAATTTTCCTAAAAAAATTGGAACATGTATGATTTTTAAAAATAGACTTGATTTTTTGAAGATAAATATGATAAAATCATGTTACTATAATTAGTCAATATGATATATTTCACATATAATTTACATACAAAGACCAGCAAAATAAAAGTAAATCATTGATGCTGAACTTGGGACGGGCTCGGACTGAATGTGTTTTCAAATGATCAACACAATCAACTATTCATTTTCTTTTTTCCAGTGTTGGAATTCTTCAAAAGTCGTGAAAAAAACATTATTAATATACCATCCAACTATGTTGAATTGCTGTTTATTTTTTGCATAATATATATCAAAAAAGTCTCTCTTTTGACAATTATGCAATTGAATGTTGAATGAAATCAGCAGTACACCTTTCACCCAGAAATTTATCTTCTGCTGAACAGTATGAAGAATAAAAAGAGATTGAAATGCAAAGAGTCCACAAATTCTAAGTAGCGCTATTGCCAGACATTCTCTCCCTTCTACGACTTGTTGCTTGTTCTTTCTTCAATCGGTTCATCTTTGCAACCATCTTTGGCAACACCTCCCTCCCACATTGGCACATGGGTGGATCAACCCATTCAAAGTAGCCACAAGTTGCATCAACCTACAACAAAAAATGGTAAGTCCACAAATTTCTTTTCAAACGAAATTCAATCTTTTTTGTCCAAAAAATAAAATTTAAGTTTAGTTTACCCCATATCTTGCACAACCATAAAAACTTCTACCCACATTTCCAGATGTCATTGAAGTCTTCACAGGAATCTCTCTCCACAATAACTTAGTCTTGGATCGTTTGTCATTGAAGTCTTTACAGGAATCTCTCTCCACAATAACATAGTCTTTGATCATTTGTCCTTGAGTGTCCACTTCGGGGAAATGAAGAAGCCATCCAACAAAAATCTTCAAAATCTTCAAAAATCTTCAACTTTGGAAAAATATGGCCAATCTAGGCACCTTTTGGAAAATCTAGGCAAATTTGAGTTTAAGATTTTATGTTGTTTGGGTCCTGATCTGTATATATATATATATATATCACAATAATGATGTTTTGGTCACTTGTCATATGTTTTTGGGTGGGAAAAACTTCTCCACTCACCATTCATAATTGTGCAACACACGCTCTATTTAAACAAACAGTTATGTCGTAAGTTGCACTCTAGTATGAAGTATGAGGGGTTTAAGTGTTACAAATGAAACTATAGGGGCGCTCCATGTTTTTTAGGTAAACGGCAAGGCTTAAAGTATAATTTACCCTACTTTTTAAGTGTATTTATATTAGGTGTGTCTAAAAAAATTTTAAAAAAATTACTTAAAATATTAAAAAAAATTCAGTGAAAACAGAAAATACAAAATATAAAAAAGTAAATTTTTTTGAAAAGTAAGTTTTGGAAATCAAAATCAAACAAAGTGATTTATATTTGGTTTTCTTTTAAAAGAAATAGAAAAAAAATACATTTCTTCTATTACCATGTCAAAATTAATTTCACCATGCCATTTTAGTAATTAAGCTAACAGTGGAGATGCTCTAAAAGCTCAAACTCTTTTATTGCATGGTAGATTTTATTATAGAAAGTATTTATGTAACTGGCATACTATGTAGTTGAGTTGACCTGATCTACTTTTTACTTATCGTCTGTTATGTGGTAAAAAGTAAGGTTAAGTTTGGAAAAACCCTAAAAAAGCCAAAAAACAAAATAGTCATACAAATTATTAAATCACTCTCTCTACTTTTCTACAAATCTTTAAATAAAAAAATATTAAAAAAAAAAACATTTAACACAAATGACTTCTCAAGTCTCTCACTTTTACCACATAATAAATAATAAGAGTACACCATGTCAACGTTGCTACTGCTTCTCCATTTCATAACTATGGTTACTCAATTGATTTATTGGTGTAAAACTAATTCAATAATTCCAAATAGTTGATTGAGCAATAATTAAAGGCTTGAGAATAATATGCAAGATCTTGGCCGTTAACTTTAAGCCTCTAGATATTAGTTCTCGATTATAAAGATGTAAGATAACTCGGGTTCAATTGAGTTAAACTGGTCAAGAGATACCCTGAATTTAAACCCAAAAAAATAAATAAATAAATAAAAACATAAGACTTATTTCAATTTGGTTAGGTATAATTTGAACCCATTTAAAATTCGTTAACATTGTGTTTGGTTCGTAGATTTGAGAATAAAAAAGAAAAAATATAGCTAAAATATAAATGAGGTATGACTACATTTCACACACACACACATATATATATTTTCTAAATTACTTTTTAAATTTATGAATCAAATGTAATCTTTAAAAAAAAAAAAAATTCATAAATACATTGATTATGTGAACGGTTGGAAATTAAAAGGGTTGGGGTTGACTATGAGGACTTATTCAATGTGAATATGACTCATGCTGTTTTTTTATTTCATATAGGAAGATTTCATTCTATTTAACATCAATTAAACGATCTAGATTCATCACTCTGTTCACATGGATTTTACACCATTTTATAATTAGCACCACAGTTAATTTAATGTAATATATATGTTTAGTCCAAGTATATTTGAATTCTGAATTTCGGTTTCAACGATCATAGATAATTTTAATTTTAAAATTTTAAAAAGAGATAAGAGAAAAAAAAAAACATAAACACACACATCACATCACATATGAGCTCCACTCTTTATCACATCACTAAAACTGTCTTTAAAATTTCAAAATTAAAAGTACCACCCTTTATTCTTTCGGTTTTGATCGGGTCAACATTCTAGAGTTAATGTCCAAAGTGTAAATCAGCTTAATTTTCTACGATGAGTGATAGAACTCTATTTTAAAAACATAACACGTGAAAATTAAGAGAGAGAGAGCCAACAGTCAAACCAGGGCGTTGCTATTTTTGACCTAGGATGCATTCTGGTAGGTCCCGTTTCCGATTAATTCACACACACTACCCTGTTGGATGGCTTTTCATCCTTCTTCTTTCCTAATTTTAGTCAAACCATGCATTCTGTTAGGTCCCGTTTCACACCAAGGATCCTCTAGAGTATTTTTTTCCTAAAGTTTCCTAGAGTGGTGCATTGTGTGGTTGAGATTTAATGTTGAAAAATTGATGTGACTTGTCATTAAATCTCAACCACATAATGCACTACTCTAGGAAACTTTAGGAAAAAAATACTCTAGAGGATCCTTGCTCCCCGTTTCCTTTTCCTTTCTATATCTTTTCAAATTTATGAATCAAATACAATCTTAATATCATGTTTAATTGAAAGATTTGATAAGAGATTTGAAAAAAAAAATAAAAAAAATTAGGTGAAATAAAAATACAATATACATTTTATCTAGTTTCACACATCTTTTTTCTTTTTCTTTTTAAATCCCTTCCTAAATCCCTCAAACTAAACATAGCATAAAGGAACATGCTATTTTTTTATGCCAAAAAAAGAAAAAAAATGCTATTTTAATTAATTTTTTGTTCTTTTTATTAAAATGTGGGATAAAAAAATTTTAATTTAGAATGACTTTTTTAATTTTTATAAATTTTTTTTACAAAAAGTAAAATGAATGATAAAGAACTTTTGGCTTTTAAACTACTTAATGTAATTCCCAAACAAGCTCTAAAATTGCCTACAAGTTTCCTACCAATTTTGTAACATCATATCATCATCATCATTATAATCATATATATATATATATATATGTAATATGAGTTATGCTACAAGGTGCGTATCCTAACAAGTTATGACATTTATAGGGTTGGTTATCACAAATGCTATAACTAAGGGTTGGTTTAAAAATTCATTTTTTTAGTTTCCTTTTTATCTTTTACGGAAAAATATGTAAAAATAAATAAAAATAAATAAATAAATAAAAATAAATAGAAAGATTTGGCAACTTATAATAAACTTTTGACTTTTGGGCTAAAATCCTTAATTCCCAAACCAGGTCTAATTCCTTGGAATAATAAAAATGTCAGAGGTTCAGGATTTGAGTCGATAGTGTGATTACGTTTACTAGTACCTTAACATCATATTATATGACCCAAAAAAAGGCCAAACTTATTTTCAATCATAACTAAAAAATAAATAAATAAATAACAATAACAAATACCCAATAAGATATAATAAAAAACTAACATCACAATTAGTCATAACCAAGTGATAACTATCATTACAATTGGTCGTAACCAGACACGATAAATATCATAATTGAGGCATATGACACAGAATTTTCCTAAAAAAATTGGAACATGTATGATTTTTAAAATAGACTTTATTTTTTGAAGATAAATATGATAAAATCATGTTACTATAATTAGTCAATATGATATATTTCACGTATAATTTACATACAAAGCCCAGCAAAATAAAAGTAAATCATTGATGCTGAACTTGGGACTGGCTCGGACTGAACGTGTTTTCTGTTAAAATAAATGTATTATTGATTGATATTTTGATTGATGTGTATTGATTTGTATGTTACAAGCTATTATATAGGAGAGGTGGTGAAAAAAACATTATTAAAATACCATCCAACTATGTTGAATTGCTGTTTATTTTTTGCATAATATATATGAAAAGTCTCTCTTTTGACAATTATGCTATTGAATGTTGAATGAAATCAGCCGTACACCTTTCGCCCAGAAATTTATCTTCTGCTGAACAGTATGAAAAATAAAAAGAGATTGAAATGCAAAGAGTCCACAAATTCTATCCAATCATACCCACCAAGAAGCACAAAACTAGTCATGAGACTCATCATCTGCAAAGGTGCAATTCAATATCTTGAGCTCTTTCTTATTCTCTTCTTTTCTTGTTTTTGTTTCAAGTTTAGCATTGCCATAGACACCATTACTCTCACTCAACCCATCAATGACTCCGAAAGTATAATCTCAAGCAACAAAGTTTTTCAATTGGGATTTTTCAGCCCTGTTAATACTACCAATCGCTATGTCGGTATTTGGTACAACAACATCCCTGTCAAGACTGTGGTATGGGTAGCTAATAGAGACAGGCCTTTAATAGATTCTTCCGGGACTTTGATGATATCCAAAGATGGCAATCTAGTGGTTTTGAATGGGCAAAAAGAGATTATTTGGTCACCTAATGTTTCAAATTCTACGGTGAATTCAAGTGCCCGCTTGTTAGACTCTGGGAATCTTGTTTTGGTAGATAACTCAAAAGGAATGACAATATGGGGGAGTTATCAAAACCCTTCAGACTCATTCTTAGAGAACATGATACTTAGTAGTGATAGAAGTACCGGTGAGAAGATATTGTTGAAATCATGGAGAAGCCCTTCTGATCCATCTGTTGGAAGCTTCTCTGCCGGTATTAGTCTTGCAACCATTCCAGAATTCGTTGTATGGAATGGCAGCCATCCATATTGGCGCAGTGGTCCTTGGAACAATCAAATCTTTATCGGAGTCCAAGACATGACTTCGGTGTATGGTAATGGTTTTAATGTGGTAGATAACCATGAAGGAACTGTATCTGTGTCTTTCAGTTATGCAAATAAGTCTCTGTTAACATACATTTTCTTGAATCACGATGGAGCTCTAATGCAGATGGGTTGGACTCAAGGGAAGCAAGAACCAGAGGTTGACTGGTTAGCTCCAGAAACTGACTGTGGTATTTATGGCAAGTGTGGGCCATTTGGAAGCTGCAATTCAAAGGACTCACCAATTTGTTCCTGTTTGAGAGGGTTTGAGCCAAATCGCATAGATGAATGGAATAGTGGAAATTTTACTGGCGGGTGTGTAAGGAGGACAAATTTGCAGTGTGAGAGGAACGATAGTAGTAGCCAGGAGAGTAAAAAAGACGGGTTTCTTGTGCTGACAACAATGAAAGTGCCAGTGTTTCCAGAGTGGTCACCGGTTCTGGCTAATGATTGCGAAAACCAGTGTTTGAAGAATTGTTCGTGCACCGCTTATGCATATGACGACGGCATTGGCTGCATGTTATGGAATGGAAGCTTAATAGATATACAAAAATTTTCCAGTGGTGGGGTAGATCTTTACATTCGCGTGGCATATTCGGATCTCGGTAATATATTGCCTATCCATATTCTTGTGCTTAAACTCAACCCTTTGTAGTCAAATTTCAAGAAACGTTAGTACTTTATTAGTAAATTGATGATCTTAGGAGGAAAAAAAAAGGGTAATAAAGATCAATAATATTGTGGTCCATTTTACTTGCACTATTTTGATGGTTGCTCTGTTTTGCAGATAAAAAGAGGGACTTGAAACTAGTCATTGCGATTTCAGTGATTGTAGGGTCAATAATCATTTCCATCTGCGCGTACTTCATATGGATGGTGTTGGTTAAACGAGGTACAACTAATTTAATCAATCTGACTCATAAATTAAGAAAACATTTTCTTCTATCGTGTAGTAGCTAACCTAGAACTAGTTTTTGAATCAGGATTCAAAAAGAAGTTCAACGAGATGCTACCATTTAAGAGACTGCTTCCAGAATACTCAACTGAAGTGTCGTTTGAAGATAATTTAAACCAAGTTAAACTTGAAGAACTACCACTCTTCAAGTTTGAGAAACTTGCAATTGCAACTGACGAATTTAACTGGACCAACAAGCTTGGACAGGGTGGTTTTGGTCCAGTGTACAAGGTAATAATGATTGCTCACGCTGATCTTGAAGTTGTTTTGTCGACAAGTGAAATAATTTGGTGTTTGTTTTAGGGGAAATTACCGGATGGACAAGAAATAGCAGTGAAAAGGCTTTCAAGGTCCTCTGAACAAGGGCTCGAGGAGTTCATGAATGAAGTTGTGATGATTTCTAAACTCCAACACCGTAATCTAGTTAGACTCCTTGGCTGCTGTGTTGAAGGAAAAGAAAAGATGTTGGTCTATGAATACATGCCAAATAAAAGCTTGGATGCATTTCTCTTTGGTTAGTACAAGTAAAAGCTCTTAACGAGTTGTTGCTTTTGCTAGATAACTTTATCTTAACTATCTGAACTTACTGTTTTACCAAAATTAAAACTTCTATCTAGAAATCAATTTCATTTGCCTTTTTCTCCCACTTATACTTTCTTTTGAACGACATTCTTTTAGATCCACAAAAACAGAAGCTCCTAGATTGGAGTAAACGTTTTGACATCATTGAAGGGATAGGTAGAGGCCTCCTCTACCTTCATAGGGATTCTAGATTAAGGATCATTCATCGAGATTTAAAGACAAGTAACATTCTGTTGGATGAAGAGCTAAACCCTAAAATTTCAGACTTTGGAATGGCAAGGATTTTTTGTGGTGAGGAACATCAAGCCAATACAAGAAGGGTTGTTGGAACATAGTAAGTACATGTCTGTTTCTCCAAAATTCTTCGTTCTTTCAATGTGCAACCTCTTCTTTCTTATGGGATTAATTTAACGCAATAAAATGAATTTTCACTTGATGCAGCGGTTATATGTCTCCGGAATATGCAATGCAAGGGCGTTTTTCAGAGAAATCAGATGTATTTAGCTTCGGTGTATTGTTACTAGAGATTGTAAGTGGAAGACGAAACACTAGTTTTTATGATGATGAGCATTCTTTGAGTCTTCTAGGATATGTAAGTCAGCTTGATTCATTTGTATTTCCTAGTTCTCTAATACTCCAAGGTTTATTCATTGTCAAGACCTAACTTTTACATGCCATATTGTTGTTAAAATTTCAGGCTTGGAAATTGTGGAATGAAGATAACATTGTGACTTTAATAGATCCCATGATATCTTATCAAGACTTCAGATCGGAGATTTTGAGATGCGTAAATGTTGGACTACTGTGTGTACAAGAATTTGCAATAGATAGGCCTACCATATCGACGGTTCTTTCTATGTTAAATAGTGAAATTTCATATCTCCCAATGCCAAAGCAACCTGCATTTACTCAAACACCAAAGAGTCTGTCTTCACAGGAAAGCCAGAGTACATGTTCTAGGAATGAACTTACTGCTACAATTGTTGATGGCAGGTAATATCTCAGATGTCGAGAAGATTATTTTTATTTATTTTTTTTCCAATTTCATGCACACAAAGACTTGCCATTGTTAACCACTCGCATCAAGTGGTTTACTGAAATATACCTATCCACAACTATTTTTGATATTCTGTTAGCGCTTATTGGACAAACAATTACAATTCAAATCTTTGTGTGAACACTTCTATTTTAAGATTTGTTTTTTCTTAATCTGGAATTTACTTCTTGTTGAATGACGCCGGTTTGTAAACACGTTGGAAAAAATCATTAATCTTATTAGTTGAATGACTTTCAGCACTACCACACCCTTCCAACTCAGGTTCATATAGTATTTATTTAATTACACACAGACAAAAGAATTAGTGCAAACATTCATTATATATTTAGTCGTGTTCATTTAATAATTGAGTTGATACAGAAGTTGGTTGAATATAAAATATTTAAACAAAAACAAAAACAAAAAAAGGGGGGGGGGGAAAGAAGAAGGAAAAATGTGAACTGTTATCTGCATTGAGATTCACTAATCGAGACTGCCAAACTAATGACAGCTAAATTCGGCGTGAATTCAACTTCAGTGACAGCTGATAAAATTGGAAAGAGGCAGAGAACTTCTGTTCAAACTATAGTTTTCTAAATTTATGGATTAGATTACCAGAGAACTGTAAAATGCCATCTCATTGTAAGACCTTAATTCAAACAGAAAAATGTATACAATTCACATGTTGAATTATCTGCAGTGATGTCTCAGTTATCAGTTGACTTAATTTTAATAGTTTTTTGGGCAAATTGCAACAGTAGTCCCTGTACTTTGCTCCTTGTATCATTTTGGTCTCTATAGTTTCAATTGGCTCGATTTTAACCATGAATTTATTATTTTGTTTCAATTTGGTCCAATTGATTATAACTCTTAGCATTTTTTATGAAAAATATGCATATAATTGACATGTGTCATTTAGACAAAAATTATAAATTTAGAAACCTTAGTGAGTTAACCTCAACGAATTTAATGATTAACAATTGGGCTAAATTGACACAAAATTTAAAATTAAGGATCAAAATTGTGCCAATTAAAAGTGTAGGAACCAAAATAATATAAAGGGCAAAATGCAGAGATCACTAATGTAATTTACCCTAGTTTTTTTTTAGGTAATTAGCTCATTTTAATACTTGAAGAGCGTGGAAATAATATTTTATGAGGTTGGCAAAAGAATGATCTAACTTGGGATATAGAACTACCTGCCCTAGCTGCACATTTGAAAAAATGAAGTTGACTTTGTCACATTGAATCAACCAAATTACATTTCTTCCATTAACATGTCAAAATTAATTTCGGCATGCCATTTTAATAATTAAGCTAGCTTTGGAGATGCTACTATAGGAAGTATTATATGTAACTGGTATACCATGTTGTTGAGTTAACGTAATATACTTTTTATTTATTGTTTGCTATATAATAAAAAGAAAGGCTATATAATTTGATGTGACTAAACACTCTCTATCTTAGACTGAGTACAAATGACTTCTTAAATCTCACTTTTATCACATAATAAACAATAAATGAAAGAGTACCGCACGTCAAATCTTCTATGTGGTGTACTCATTATCCATTTCATGACTATGCTTCCTCAATTAATTTAGGATAAATTACATTGACACCTCTTGAGGTTTGGTCTAATTACTACCCATCCCTTGACATTTTGGAAATGACATTCACACCCTTGTGGTTAATAGTTTTATTTCACAAACTCCTCTGCTTATATAAAATGTAACAACTCTTAGTAGAAAAATAGAAGAAATTACATTAAAAAAAAAATAAAGGAAAGGGGAAAAAAAAGAGAAAGTAAAGCAAAGCAAAGCAAAACAAAAAAATAGAAAGTGCATGAGTTCAATGTCTTCATCCCGTCTAAATAATAACAATGATAGGGGGTTAGTGCAATTTTCTAAACGTCAGGGGGGTGATATGTATTAAACCCAAACCTCAGAGGGTGTAAGTGTAATTTACCCATTAATTTAATGGCGTAAGCCTTATTTCAATAATTCCAAGAGGTAGACTAAGCGATAAAAATTTGAGAATAATGATTTCAGTACCTGCGAGATTATTAACAGTTGTTTTTTTAGAGAATGTTAATAAATTACAAAATCCATTTTGTCGTCCAGTAGCGACATGCATGATCTCCAGTTTGAATCTCCCAAAGAATCAATAGAGATTTGGTTGGTTGTTAACTTCAAGCCTCTAGGGATTAGTTCTTGATCCTCCAGATACAAGATAATTGGGGTTCAAATGAGCTAGGCAAAATGAGAGATATCTTGAATTAAAAATAAAATAAAATAAAACTTATTTTCAATTTGGTCAAGTGATTCGTACCCATTTAAAAATGTAATTCAAATATATATTTATCTCCATCAATCTTAATTTTTTGTATGAATATTTTACTCAATGAGTTATAAAAAATGAACGATCAGGATCATCATCTCCCAAATCATAAATCCATTGATTATGTGGACGGGTGGAAATTGATAGATTATAGTTGGAGAAACTACATCCCAATGGGGTAGGAAAAAAAATAGACAGATTGCACTAGTAGTCCCTATACTTTGGTCATTGTATCATTTTGGTCTTTATAATTTTAATTGGCTTGATTTTGATCATGAATTTATGATTTTGTTTGAGTTTGGTCCAATTGATAACATCTCTTAATAATTTTTAACTTTTTTTTATCAAAAATATGCATATAAATGACATGTGTCATATTTTTTAGAATAAAACTACAAAGTTTCTAAACTTGGTGAGTTTAATATCAACCAATTCAGTAATTGTTTGCAATCAAAAACACTAACGACATTATCAATTGAACCAAATTGACACAAGACTTAAAATTAAGGGTAAAAATTGAGCCAATTGAAAGTAGAGGGACCAAAATGACACAAGAGACAAAATGTAAAGATCACCGGTATAATTTGCCCTAAAAAAATTTACAAAAACATAGAGGGGTTGCACCCCCACAGTTTTCCCTTTGTACCCCATTAAATGACATGCTCCCCATATGTTTTTGTAATTTTTTTCTTTGTCCCATTGCACTGTAATTCTCCCATTATAATTTCAGCTTGACTATGAGGACTTATTCAAAGAGGAAGCTTCACTTTCCATTTAACATCAACACTTATGCTAATCAAGTGGACTTGTCCCCCTTCAAGTACCCTCAAGTTGAACACTGATGGCTGCTACAGAATGGCTAGACCTGAAGGATTCAGAGGCTTGATCAGAGGTGAAACAGGAGAATGGATTTGTGGCTTCTATGGCAAACTTGCGACTTGTACCAGCCTCAAGGCAGAGTTATGGGCTGTATACAAAGGCCTCACCATCATCATCCAATAAGGTTTCAACAAAGTGATAATTAAAACAGATGCGGCTGAAGTAGTGAAGCTACTTCAAGAAGGTCCTGGCGACAAACACCTCGTCTGAGGCCTAGTGGAAGACGCAAGGATAATCTTCAATGGTTGTCAATGCACTATACAACACATTTACAGAGAAGGAAATCTACGTGGAGATAAAATGGCTAAACTTGGAGTTGGCCAACCTGAGGACATCCTTGTTGTAAATGACCCACCTACTGAAATTAGAGAGCTCTTGGTCTCTGATATGGTTAGGTTAGCTAGGGAAAGGGCTTAGTCCCTGTTTGTATGTTTTTCATTCTGATGTTGTTGGTTGTATAATTTGTAAATGCCAATCACAATTTAACACGTGGCACGAAGAGGGAAATTTGGGGAATTAATACAAGTTATCAACCAAAATCAGACATGTGGCAGTGCGTATTGTAATAATGGATCTGCGTAGTACTGGAATAATCGAGAGATACAAGATGATGTGGACTAACGGTTATTCATGAAGTTTAAATTCAAAATCAGGAGAGAAGCCTAACTGCAAGAGTGGCGTAATGGGATTAACTATGAAAGAGCATGTTCAGCAATCATGGAAGGACATTTTGACAGTTAGAAGCCCACTTCGACGGTTATCATTGAAGAGTATAAATATCAAAGAAAGCCCCAGAATGGGACCCAGACTCAAATAAAAAAAACCAGTTTATTTACTTTATTTTTCCTTCCAGTTTTTCCAGTTCTTTGCATTTCTGCATTTCCTCAATTCCTATACTGTACTTCATTTCCTAGGAGTAGTTTCAAATAGTTTGTTACTATAAACCCTTACGAGGATGGGTCAGATCATTCTAAGTTTTCATTTACTTAATGAAATTCAGATTCTAAAATTGTTCTTCACTTGTTGTTATTTACTAAATTCTCCTAAACAAGCCACCAGTAAAAGTCATCTTCATTGAGGGTGAGAGAACTAAAACACAATCGTCTGATAATTGGTTGGCGATTAATATTCTATAAGGACTAATTGATCCTTGCTGGCACGCTTAAAATTACATTATTAACCTTCAAAAGCCAAAAAGCCAACATATATTTTTGGCACGCCTAGTGGGACCCTAAAATGGCTAGACGTAGGAGACATGGAGAAAATGAAAGCCTGAAAGAATGTGTGGAGGGAGAGGTAGAAGTAACTGATCCAGAGGATAATGTGATAACACATCCTGTGGAAGCACCTATCTCATCAGAACCTATGGTCGAACAGACCAGCACCTCAGAACATGCACCACATGTTCAAAATATTAGACGAGGCCATGGAATTGGACCATCCACTATTCCGTCTACCCAGCTAATGAATTCGTGGAGGGACTTGGTATGGGACAGCAATTAATGTATACAATGGAAAGATGGGCAACATCCTTTATGGATCGAATGAATTCCCATCAACCAACTAGCATATGGAGGAAAATTCAAATGTTCCTCAGCAAAGATTGGCTAGAGATAAATAACCTACACTACAACAAAAAAGGATTTTTACGGCGTGCAATGCACGCTGTAAAAAGCCTTCTACGACGTGCAGCGCGCGTCATATTATGACTGTAGACTTCCCCGAATGTCCCGAGAAAATCCTGTTTTGTTCATTGGGATCACTACAGTTCGAACTCAATGTCACGGTTCTAAATCTAATCTCGCAAAGTGCAATACAAGATCGATAAATCCCCAAAGAGTCCAAATTTGGCAAATCGTTTTGAAAAACTAATTTTTAGAAAGAAGTGCCAAACATGGACTGCTTTGCCAGATACAAAGTCGCCACATAAATATTTTATTTTGGGAGAATTTAGGAAACCCTGACTCGTGCCTAAGGCCACGTGTCCGTCATCACCAAAGTTGCCTCGGCTCGGGAACTTGGGTACGATTTGGGAAGGTCATTTCATGAGCACCCCCGCTTGCCCGATCAAAGATCGGCCACTACTAAGCATAATATCTTATTTTTGAAAACACATGTGCTTTTATTCCGGTTATTAACCTAGGATTACTATGTGATGCCCACAGCATACAAGTATAGACTAGATTGCCTAAATTGGAACAAAGCATCGCATATCCGTTTGTTTTGAAAATGGATTGAAATTTGCTACTCACAAGTAGGCTAAAATACGGGTTTCGACGAATTATTCCAATTCAAGCAACCCAACCTTCACCCACAGGCATTCAGGTGATTATATCACATAAGCACATAGCCTCATGGTAAGCACGCTATCATGGCAGTCACTCACACGCATGCAAAGATATTAAAGCATAAACACTTATTGAGAACTCCGAGCCAAAGAAAGAAGCTAATTAGAAAACATGCATGAATCCTAACTATGCTGAGGTGCCTAATGCAACACATGCAAGAATGCAACTAAGATAGGCTCGGCTATTCTAAAATGGCATATGAGATGCTACAGGTAACATGTATTCAACTTGAAATTAAAATACAATGCAGTTAGTATGATGCGCTGAGCCTGGTGCATGCAAAACAGATGAATGGATGCAAACATACGAGCATAAGGATGTTAATTGAAACATGCCCTAAAACTAACCATCATAAGCTGGTAAATAAAAGGAAGAAAGACGTGGGATTGGAAGACATGCATCACACACACGCACACTTATTACAAAATTGCCCTCTCTTGGAGGGTCCAAATAAATAATACAGAATCGAATTAACTAATTATTACACAACACTAGCTAATTAACAAATTAACTAAACTAGCAAATAAATTAGCATGCAAGCTACATGAAATGGACTGCCTCAGCTCTACCTTGAATGATAAAGGATGCATGCATGCTCGAGTCGGCTTGTCGGGAAATCCATCGCGATGCCTCGACTCGCCTTTGTTTGCAATTAATTTCAGAAAGTTGCACGAGGCTCCAGAGAGATGAAACTCCACACAGGAAAGCTGTGGAAAGGCTGCCGACCAACTATGGGCAAAGGGAGACAACCTATCGACCACCCTTGGTGGTGAAGACCAGAAAAGGTGGTCGGCCTGCCAGAAAACCTGGTCGGCCGACCATTTCAATCTTCTGGTTTCTGCTTTTTCTGCAACAAAGGCAAGAGAGAGAGAAGGCAAGGTATTTTCAACATATGTGTGCCCAACCATTCTCTCCATCATTGCATAAGCTCTAGGGAGTGTAGTTCTCGATCCTTTGGCCACCAATCACGCATCCCGATGCATGATGGCCGAGGAGTCGAATTGCACGACTCAATAGGACATGAATGCACATATAAACACCTAAAGCCAACAACTCTATCATGGATAGTCAAGAGTGTCGACGACCGAGAATTGAGGCACGTTTCGTCACTTTGAGTACGAAACGTCCCTCGTTTCCCTTGTTTGTACTAACTCCTATTCCAAACAGAATGCAACAAGTAAAGTGGCATGGCATGTATAAATGCAACTCTAGTATGCAACCCTAAATGTTATGCGACTAAGTGATGCAAACATGTAAAAGAAGGCATGCAAGCATGCGACTAGCATACACAATGCTATGGACTAATCAAGGGCATGCTCAATGCACGTGGATTATATGGCATGCACACACAATGCACTAACATACGCAATGTTATGAACGAGGCATGTGCAATGCAATGATCAAACATGAGATAACATGGACTATAGGGCATACACAATGCAAGATGGACTTAAACCAAGATGGATGGACTTCAGCCGCACCCAAATCAGTGGCCAAACATGATGAAAACAAGACAATGACACACACACAAGCATGCACAATGCAAGGGATCAAAGCCTAAGGTACGAGATACAACTCTACAAAAGCATTGAAAGGATGAAATATGGCATACAATGGCACAAGTTCCGGCTCTGAAATAACATGCAACATGGTCCCGAATCACGCAAACAACTCACACAATGCATGTTGAAAGGCTCAAATAACAAAACTAGTGAAGCGCATTACACTAGAGGTATGCAAAGCAATACTCAAATGACCAAACCAACCCCAAACAGTCCCTATGCAAGCCCAAAACAGTAGCAAAATAGACTAAGATGATGGTTTGAAAGGTACAAAAATGAACCTCAAGCAATGGTCCATAAATGAGGCATACAAGCACAAATCTCAAACGCTTTTAAAGAGTGATAAACATAGGAATATGGCAACCTTATACGCTCTGAAATAACATGCTCAATGATGCCGAAACATAGAAACACCTCAAGTTAAGCATGCAAGGGAGTTCAAAACTCAAGGCTAGACGAGGGTATTATACTACAACCATGCATAGAAAGCATCATTCGACCATGGGACCTCAAAACAGAGCTAAGGCAGCCCAAATCATGAATAAAATCAGTTTAGAACATGGCCAAAATATACTAGAATTAAGGGTCAAAACAACATGCAATGTGAACTAGTGAACATAGATTACACTACAAGCATATGAAGCGTTCAAGAGGCCACTAAACCAGAAAAAGTCAGAGACATGACATGCCAAATAAAGCCCAAAAATCCACTGAAACATGATCAATGCATGTAAGAATGTCATGCTCCTTTGATAGGCTATAAGAGGGGTTATTCTACACATGCAAAAAACACACCCAAGGAGACAACCAACTCTGGAAAGAGCCTAGGCAGGCCCTAAAAGGCACTGAAAAGGGGCAGAAACAAGGCTTGGAGGTGTGCAAATAAAGGCTCCTTTGTAAGGCCAAAAATGCTAGTGAACAAGACAAGGAGGGAGAGGGTCACCCCCCTCTGATTTTGGCTCTCAAAAACACATTTTAACCACTGAAAATCCGCTGGATTTCAATGGTTAAAAGGCCAAGCAAAGGTCAACACAAAGGCCTTAGAGCATGGCTCAAAACAAAGCAAAATGAAACATGCAAGGGGTAGATGACCCCCAACAATAAAATGATCTTAAACAAACATCAAAAGGACCTCAAAACAAGACTTTTTTCAGTTGACAACAAAGCTCATATATGCATGCAAATAAGGCTAAGAGGTGGATCAAAATAAAGCTTAAAAGAAGGAAAAGTGATTACCCTTGAAGCTCAGCAAAAACCAATAACTTCTGAACCAAAAAACTCAACCTTTGAGACCTCTCAAGACCCTCCAAGAACTTAGTAACAATGGTAGAGGTGTTAGGCTATTAGGTTGTGGTACAATAGGCCAAGAACCATGCACACTTGGAGCCAAAATAGAGAGATATAGAGGGAGATATATGTTTTGCCTTCCAAGAAGTTCTGAACCTTCACAAAGAAGGGGGAGGCTCTCCTTTATAGCCAAAAGGGACCAAAGCTTCTCAAAGAAGTTAAAAACCAAGGTTGAAGATCCTCCATACATGTGTATGGAGGATCCAGTCTGTGCTTTCCAGCTGACAACAACTCACAGAGACAAGACTGGGGAAGGCAGGCCGACTAGTTCTGGTGGTCGGCCAACCACTTCCCCTAATCGGCCGACCAGTTCAAAAGGTTCAACCCAATAAAAGGTGGTCGGCAGCCCCATTTGGTGGTCTCCACATTGAATGCAAGCTAGTGGTATGGTGGGAGACCAGTAAATGTGGCTCAAAAACCAAGGAAACCAGCTTCTTGATAAGAAAACCAGCTGGCGGGAGAAAAGTAGTCTCCAAGGAGAAAAGGTAGTCTCCCACCCTTGTACCACCTCCCAAACAATGAAAACAAGGTTCAAGCAAAAAATGAACCAAGATGGATGCAAAACGAGGGTTCGGGGGTCGAAACGCGCAGCCGAATGCCTTGAAAATAGGCTGTTAAGCAACGAAAGTGGCGTGCGACCACAAAGGTGGTCTCCCGGGCCACAGTGTCCCTCTAGAGAGAGGAAGCAAGGTGTGTGCCAAAAACCGTGCCAAACAAAGAAAGTTAAGCGGGGTCCCAAACTGAGGCGCACGACCGACGGCTCCGAAAACTGAAAACTGGTCTCCAAACAGGAAAAGTGGCCTACGACCACGAAAAGTAGTCTACAGCCACTGAGAGATGGTCTACGAGACCTCTCCCTCCCTTCGAGAAGAGAAAACAAGACCTGGTTCGCAAACCGAGGCAAAGCACAAAAAGGTCTCGAGAACCGGGGATAAGGCTCTCAGCCGAAACTCCAAAACCTCAGAACGAGCACAACATACACAATCACCGAACGCTCAATCGATGACGTCTGAGTCTTAAGGTCGGTCAAAAATAAAGTGTCTGTAATGACCAATCATGGAAAGTCGTTCACTTTCAATGACATGCTTCGTACGCCATTAAAAACTATTTAACGACAAATTTTGTGTGTCGTCGTTACTTTTTCTACGACATGCTAGAATATGCCGTTAAAAACTATTTAACGACAGATTTTGTGAGTCATCGTTATTTTTTCTACGACTATTTTTACACGCCGTTAATTGATGAGACAAATAACGACGCTAATTGTGCGCCGTAAAATATGTAATACGACGACTTATTATACCTGCCGTAGAATATGCAATTTTTTTTTTATATATTTACTTTTTAAATTCAACAGGTTTTATTTGACCAATTTTGTACAATCTAACAATATTACAAACAAGTATCACAAAACATTAATCAACCACCAAAATATTGTTTGAAACATCGAAAAGAAACTATATCCATAAATTATAAGCATTCAACAATTGTCTATATATTCCAAACATTCGAAAACGATCTCCTTAAGTTCTAAACTGTACAAAAAGTTTAAACCATCCAAAACTATGCATATCTAACTTTCTAAACATATCGACAACTATTAAGAGATTATCTAAAACTATCGACAACAGTTCCTATAGTAGTTGCAGCTGCAGCTATAGCAAATCCACTTGCTCCTATCACAGGGACGAGAGTGCCCGATGTATGTGTTAAGACACCTAAACCCGTTGCAATAGCTGGAGCAACTAACCCTGTTGCATTTCTTGTCTGCATGACAAAAGAAACTTCACATAAATACAAAAACCAACGACTTAGGAACAAAAATATTTCTTGAGGTATTAAGAAATGATCAAAAAATTTTAAAACATCAACAAAACATTTCCAAAATTAATAAAATAATTCAATGGCCCCCATAAAAGCAATGTCATAATGAAAAATTAGCAAAAACTCAAAATCTCAATAGTTTGCTACTAAATCCAGACCATAAGAAGCTCAAGAGAAAAATCAAATTTAAAAAGCGGAAGAGGTGAAATTAATCTACTTCAATGAAAACAAAAAAAAAACTGAAAATTTGTGATTATTAGTAATATTCGGGCATGCCTAATATTTTAGCAACATCCCATGAAAGGATTTTCCAAAATGTCTGACATTACATTTATTCAGGTTATGATCAACCAAGTTCAAATGGGTCATGTCATTGTGCTAATGACCTTTTGTGGAATTTGGAAAGGTCCAAATGTTTACTATTAAGCACAAACTAAATACCACATGTTTACAACAAGAAATATCCTAAAATAAATAATGTTTACTATATGAATTTTTCCATCTAAAATATCAAAGAAATAACTTAATTCAGTAATTTGAAACTTTATTCGTCTAATCAAAATAGTTCCATCGACTTCTCATATCAACAGCTACTACATTTTTACAATCCGAACACAATTTTAAAAAGCAAATACACAAAACAACATTAAAAGCAGGTCATTTCAAGAACTGATATAGCAAGATTCTCGTCAAATCTGACACACTAAAGAGGATGCCTAAAATGCAAGTTTCTTTAGACACCGTTTTCCATCTTATGATAATCATAGACATGTTCTTTATTTTTCGAGTATCAATCACAGATGAAACCTTATACCTTTTTTGGGTCACATCAGAGAGGCAAGATATGGTAATAACTTACAAGACAGATGCAACAGGTTTTTTCTTCATGGTTTCGATCTGAATAGATCTTTGTTTTTGTCAAACACTTTGAAATCATATCTTCAGACAAGACAGTGTTGACATTCCCTATCCTTTCTTCTAGAGCAAGAAGTTCCTGTCCAATGCCAACTTCACATTAGTAACAGTTGGGGAAGACTACAAAAATGAATTTTTTAACAACTAAATTTAACCACCTCATAACTCATGTCGTCGATGTCTAGCCTCATGTCTCCATATTGATCAGAAAAATTCCTGGAACTGGCGTACAATAACGAGGGATCCATCATTATGAAATCCTGCAAAGATAAAAATGAATTCAAGTCACTAGCTGATCACAACTTGGGGTAAGTACATAGTAACTGTTGCCCATATCAAAGGACGTTCCAAGAATTCATTCCTGTACATGTACCTACCTACATCCTTGTCCAAGAATCCAAAAATTTACTTATTTTATTTTTAATTATAGCTTAATTACTATCTTATCAATATTTAATTTCTTATTTTTAGGGAGCAGTTTCCTATTTTGTATTAGGAATTTATTTGGTAGATTTGAATATACTCCATATACTCTGTTATTTGTCCTCTTATCTCTCAAAATTCAACATAAAAGTACCAAGGCTTCATGTTTCAATCAATAACAAGTTGGTTATCTCTCAAAACTCAACATAAAAATACCAAGGCTTCATGTTTCAAGCAATAACAAGTTGGGATTACCACATGACCTTGCCCAGAAATACTAGTTAAATACGTAGTCAAAATTAAAAGTCAACTTCTAATGGAACTTGTCCTTGTACACAATAATGTACTCAATGGGGGAGCGAGTACAAATCTTTGTACAAACTATCAGTCTATTTTGACTAAAAATATGGAAGTGTAGTTCTTTATGTCCAAAAAAAAAAAAAAGCATGGTGTGGTCATATGGATTAGAATTCAATTGATGAGAGACAAAAGTACACTACAACTTCATCATAACATTATCTCAGCACCTCACAAACGTATGAAAAGAATATGGATTTCTGCTGACAACACAAATTAAAACTATCAAAACTGGTACAAGTCTACTTAATATGAAAGGAAAAGAACATATAATGATGTACCTGAATTTAATTTGACTTTGCCGAAAAGAATTGCTTTGATTTACTATTTGCACTTTATGCTTTATACAACATCATAGTGTGGTGCAAATGTTGTAGTCATTACCTCTCTCAAAACACAAAACCCACCTAGGATTAACAGAGAATTATGCAATTAAGGCAATTAACAAAAAAAAATAAAAATAAAAATAAGGCCTTACTTCATCCCCTCCGATTCTGCCATGTCACTTAGTTACAAAAGGCGCAATCATAGAAAGACAAAATGTGGGTTGTTACTCACTGTCACATTCTCATAAAGCATGTTTTACACTAAAAATATGAATGGTAGAGACCTCTAACAATTTTTCTTCCTCATCTTCTTCTTCTTCTTCTTTTAATGTTGAAACCTAACAATTATCAGGTGGGAATTCAATTCAAATCACCAACAGTTAAGAGGATACATTTTCTTTAAGTAACTAGTTATCTACACAACTAAACACCCCCTAATTCTGCCCAAAAACCACTTCCAGGTGAATTTTGAGTGGTTTTGTTGTTTTCTTATTTGGATAGAAAACTTCCCTTTCTTTCCTCTTCGTTAGTTCATCCCTTCGATGATTTTGGCTTTGTAAACAATGCCCCACCTAGCTGAATAAGCGTAAGAAAGTTACCTGGAAAAAAAGAGAAAAAGGCAAGGTGCACATTCAAGTGAAATCAACGATCACAAACAAAGATATCAACTTATGATCAAGGAAAATAAATAATAACAATATTCCAAAACACTAATAATGTAGAAAAAATAGCATCCTAAGAGAATATTTGAGTAGAGTTGAGTTGACAAAATAAAGAACAATTCATGCATCAAGGCCGCTGTTGAAAATTCACATCACAATGTTATAGTCAAACAAGACAATCACTTGAAAGAAAAAATCTCCACAGATGAAAATTTGTAAATCAATATGTTTCTAAGCAAAATGAAGCTATAATATTACAAGGATGTCTTCCAACAATGGCCTACACAGGGGAATAAGACATCTTTTTTGAAGGAGTTCAGCATAGAGAGCAATGGAAAATTCAAAAAAGAGGCAGAGCAATGATGGGGAGGCAAAGAATGATATGCTCAGTAAGTGTGGGCCAATCAGAATAAAGAACCATAAATGGAGTTCAATCTCAAATTTTAAAAAGGGTAGCTTGGATGTAATACCTTGGACTAATCCTCCAAGCGACAAGACAGACAACTATGAAAAGGTGATCAGTTGGCACGCGGTAACACACAGGGGAATAAGACATCTTTTTTGAAGGAGTTCAGCATAGAGAGCAATGGAAAATTCAAAAAAGAGGCAGAGCAATGATGGGGAGGCAAAGAATGATATGCTCAGTAAGTGTGGGCCAATCAGAATAAAGAACCATAAATGGAGTTCAGTCTCAAATTTTAAAATGGGTAGCTTGGATGTAATACCTTGGACTAATCCTCCAAGCGACAAGACAGACAACTATGAAAAGGTGATCAGTCGGCACGCGGTAACAAGAAACTGAATCCTGAATTTTCACGAATAAGCGGTGGTGGTTCTACGTCCGAAATGTCAATCTGCTCCATTGATTTTGAGATGTCATCAACTGAAAATGGAATGTTGTACCATGAATGATGGGCAAAATATCAGTGGCCAACAACACAAAAATATGGCCTTCAGTGAAGTGATGAAAATGCTACAAATTTTAAAGATAACAAAAAGAAAAGTGCACACACACACACTCATATGATTTAGTCTGTCTTTAACCTTGAATCGTCATCCAGCAAAAAAGAACTGCCGACAGCATTGTTTGAATCTTCAGTCATCAGCACCCTCATGTTGGATATTACCTGTCAATCAAAATATCACATAGCAGAAGTCACCCTAGTCAGTAACACTTTTAAGGATCTTTTTGATCCATCAACAACATTTAAAATGAAAGAAGTCTATGCCAAATTATAGTGGTAGAAATGTTGACCCTTTTTATCCAAGCAAATCACCAACATATAAAATGAAATGAATATGCTTTGTTGGAAATAAAAGGCTATAACAAACACCTTAAAACAACTTGGAAGAAAATTGGGTAAGAACTTTCACTCATATTTCTCTCATTACATTCTCATTCCACCAATAGATAGATTACGTGGTTGTATATAATATCCTAAAACTAACTCTTGACAATCTACCATTAAGACAATACTAAGACCTACTTACTCCAATAATTTGTAACAACCACATCACTGATGCCCATTAACGTATCACTAATGTCTTAACACATTGACTCTAGTGGGAGCCACATTGACTCTTTGACCTATAGCCCCATTCCCATTATTTCTGATAGTTGAAATAATTATCACGTCCTTCTCACCACCTTGAAACCCATCAACAGAGCGAACACTCACAAAGAAGTCACTCTCTGCATCTGTACTGTATGTTGTTCCAAGTTTCTCTTGAATTGCAATAACCTGGGCATTGTATGGTGATATCACACCAATGCTAACCCTCTGTTTTAAGGCAATGGATTTTATAATGGGATAAATAAATAGTCAGTTCTGCAATTCAATGGTCAAAAAGCAGAACAGTTAGGAAAAATGTCTTTGTTTTCTATTTCTTTGATTTTTCCCCAAAATCAAACTAAACTAACGCAACCCAAAAAACAAAAGGCAGACTCGTTTTAATTGAACCCATATAATGAAACACCAATACTCAAAATTTCTATAGTTTGATTAATTTTTCTTGCATTTTCTTGGCACCCAAACAGAAATAACAATCAATATAAAATGAGGAAATCTTCTTACCTTCATCTTGGCAACTTTGAGTCGAAAAATCTCAATGACCATAAGCATCAACAATCGATGATTTAACAAAAAAGCATATGAATGTGGATATATATATATATATATATACGGTACCTTTTCGATGAGAGTAACAATGATGGTTCAGGTAATGGCCTTTTCGGTGTTATCAGAGTAACCTTGAGCACAAGCCTCTCGTCTGGTGAGATCTTCACCGATGGTTAGTTTCTGTGGAGCCTGGATCTGAAGCCGCCATGGTTGAGATCGCTTCGTGTTGCAGATATCTGCGTGACAGTGGCCTTCGCACCCTGGATGAGATGAAGAGGAAGACGAAACGCGATAGAGGTGGCGGGGGAGGGAGATTGAGGACGACGGTGGTGACGATGGAGGGTGCACAACGCACAACTATCGTCCATTCTCTCTCTCTATCTCTCTCTCTTTGTGTGTCTGTTCTCTGTCTAATCTGAAAGATTAAAACACTAATCGAATCAAAATCAAACCCAAGGTTGAATTGAAGAAGACGGAGACATGACCTAGGGCTTTTACACAGCTATACAAATACACGATTATTATAAATAAATAAATAAAGAGGAGGTGAGAGAAGAGGTAAGGTGGTCGGTAGTTCGTCGAGAGAGAATGACGGCAAGAGGAGAGATGGTCGGTGGTCGGCGGCGTCCCGATGGCGGTGGTTGCAAGAGGAGAGAGACGAAAGAGAAGGGGTAGATGAAAGGCAGAGGACACTGAGAGAGAGTAGCGTGTATATACTTATTTTTTTGGCGAAATGGCGCCACAAAATTTTATTTTGGCGTCTTTATTTTTTTAACATACAATTCACGACATGCATTGTGCGTCATAAAAAGATAATATTTTTAACGACCAGTGATATGTAAGTCGTAAAAAGTATAATATTTTTAATGACAGGCATTATGTGTGTTGTGAAAAATATTTACTTTTCACGGCTGGCGTATGTGCATTGTGTATAATTGATGTATTAACGGCACGCCATATGCACGTCGTAAAAAGTTTTACTATTTACGGCGTGCATTACAAGCTGTAAAAAAATTATCGGTATTATCATTCACGGCCTACGCAATAGACACGTCGTAATTGGAAAAGTATTTACGACGTGCAAAAAGAGCAAGTCGTAAAAGTGAGAAACTACAGCGTGCATTTATTGTATGTCGTTGATGTGGTGTCGTAAAAAAATCAGTTTTTTTGTAATGCTATGCAAAGTAGTGGACATACTAATGGTCAGACTAGTAGTCACAATTATGAAAGACCATCACCTATACCTCAGTCATGGTAGGAGCCTTTTTTTAGGCCTGTGGTAAATCAAAATATCTCATTACCTAACAAGGAAGCCATACAAATTGGTGGATCTAGACCAACATAAGAAAATGGCATGAGAATGTTTTCAAATCCCATGTTTGAAACTATGCCTAGCACGAGGGGGTTCACTAACCCTCTGTTTGAATTCACACCCGGGGGGTTGGAAGGATTTTCTATGGCTGGGAGAGAAACAACATTTGTTTCTCCTTTTGCAGCACCTTTCACAGGTCCATTCGCAGGACAGGTTCAAAGAGGTCAACCATACCCTCAACAGCAACCAATACCACAAGGACAACCAGTCCCAACTATACCCCCTTATGGACCAAAAGGACCTCAAGCACATGGGATTCCACCAAACCTTGTGTTTGCTCCTTTAGTAGTAGTCCAACAGGTACAAAATATAGTTCCTATGGACCAAATTGCTGATATTGTCAGAGAGATGTGTGGAACTATGGTTCGGGGGGTTCAGACTGCTGTAAATGAAAAGCCATACCTAGAATGGGTAAATAGGGTGCATTATAAAACCCAAGTTTTGAATATTATTATTTTTGGATAGATTGGTAATTACATTAATTTATATGGGTCACTTAGTAATATCAAGAATTAGTTATGAGGTGGCATGATAATTTCTATTACTGAGATGGGTAATTTTGTAATTTTAAGAAATTAGGTTAATAACCCTAAAAAATAAATATATATATATATATATATAAAAAGAGGGAAAAATGGGGTTTCATATTTCTTTTTATCACGACTGCGCAGTGCATCCTTAGGAGGAACGACAGTTGGAAATTGAAGCCACTGAATGTTCTTGATTGCCCATTGACTGAGATATTTTTGCCCCATTGTTTACGTTATGTAAAGGGATCAATTGTTTATTATATTATGTACATGGGTCAATAGGTAGTCAGATGGTTTTGGGAAGGAAATTTGTGTGGATACCTAAATATTGAGAGTTTGGATGCATGGAGCAACGTGTATGTGCAATCGTATGGGTTATTGGAAACAGTGCAAATTATTATGTAGGTGTAGTTTTGCAATAGAATTTGGTATATTAGATAAGTTGTGTTTAACTATTAAATTAAGGGAATTGATTTGATATTTCTTGTATATTAAAGCATCTCATATATGCAGTGGGTTCTTGTGGATATGTGAAAGACACAAAAATATTAATTTGTTTGAGGTTATATTTATTAGGTTCGTGCGATTGAAGTGGTGGAGTTGAGTATTTGAGATTAGTTTGGGAAATATTAGTTTAGCTGTTTGAGGTAAGTAACCCTCTATCACTGTTGGTACATTTTTTATTCCTATTGAATCGTCTAAAATTATAAGTATTTATTCATAGCCTCTATGTTCTCTTAAAATAAAATATGGGTCAAGTATAAAATAGCATCGAATATTATTATGAAAATTATTTGAATATTTGGTGAAACTATTCTGAAAATTGTACTAAACGTTTATTTTAAAAATATCGAATATTTTATTTAAAGGTTGTGTATTGTTTGAATTTTGAACATCACTCTAGTCTGACTGTGATTTGGACCCTAGCCAATAGGGTTATTTATTGGCACAGAAACTAATTTCTTTTGGGGTTTTACCACCGACCTATGTGTGGTTCTGGGCCTTGTCACGGGCTAAGTGACCGTAGTCATTAAGATTTGGGTTTTGTGAATCAAATCATTGAACTATCTGAATATTGAACCATCGATTTGAACAATGAATTACTTTGAATTATCTTGTTAGCTTTTCATTTAAAATGTATTGTACATTGTTTATTTTTAGCTATGAAACCATCTTACAAATAATTGTTCATTTATTGAACTGTAGAAAAATTTATATTTATTGGTTATCGATTTATTTATTAAATTTTTTTATACTTGATCCAACTGGCAGTGATGGTTGGTTATTTACTGGGCTTTCTAGCTTACCCTTTTTTTTTTCTTCAGATTCTGAAGAGTAGAGCTGCGCGGGATTTTTACATGTGGGAGTGCTGAGAGTAGGACTTTGAATTAAGTACTTGGATTATTGTTTTGTTAATGGATTTTATTAGTGGACTTGGTGGATAATTTCATATGATAAGAATAATCAATTTTTATGGATTTTAGCATTATGATAATTAAGGATTTAATTGGAGTATTTTACATTGTTGGTTATGTGTTGGACTCTTAGCCTTGCATGCTCACTTAAATGAGTGTGCGGCGTTGTCACGGAACTTGGGGCTTGACAATTTTGTGGTATCAGAACCAGGTTGTAATTTTAAAGGCTGGTATAGAATAGTGGTGAGATTGGGTAGATGTAGGATTGGGAACGCTTATAATTTGATATAATGTTAATTTTATTTATTTTTTATTTTTTTTATGTTATAGGAGCTTGAGAATAGAATAAGATGAGGTTTTATTATTGATGCATTTAGGTTGCGATGGAACATGAGGAGACATTGGCAAATATGGCTAGGAATACACGTCAGGGTTAAATGAATCGACGAACTGGTAGTAACAATCGGCGAGGGAACGTAACTAATAATGGTAGTGGTTCTCAAGCAGTTGGAGGAAATCAGGGGCAAGAGTTGGGACAACAAGAACAAGCTACAATCCCCAATCCAATTGAAATGGTTCAAGTGCTTTAGACGTTGGCTGGGGTGGTGCAACAACAAACCACCATAGGGAATAACTTGACTAAACTTATGAAGCAACAACAGCGGATGCATCCAGGTGTTGGGCCACAACCAAGGCCACGTTGTAACATTACTGAGTTTAAGAAGATAGCCTTGGCATTTGACGGAGCCACAGACCCTTTGGAGGCTGAAAAATGGTTGACAGAAATGGAAAAGTTATTTCCCGTTTTTGAGTGTACGGATGATCAGAAGGTGACCTATGCTACGTTTATGCTACAAGGGATAGCTAATGATTGGTGGCAGATGGAGAAGCGCATACACGAGCATGATGCCAACCCCTATACATGGGAAAGGTTTAAGAATGCATTTAATGAGAAATACTTCCCTAGAAGTGTTCATCTACAAAAACAGAGGGAATTTTTGAAGTTAAAGCAAGGGAATAAGACGGTTGCAGAATATGAAGCTGAGTTTACAAAGTTGCAAATTTTCTGTCACTAACCTATTCCCAGAGAAAGTTATGGGGATTGACACTAACCTATTCCTAGAGATTAGGGAAGTTTCAGCAAATGTTGGTGCGCCAGATTTTCGAAACCTATCCTTGATTGAATTGGAGGAGGTTAATGTGCAGATGCACGCTGCCAAGTAGATTGCTTTCAAGAAAGATACCAGAAGTTCACCAACAAATGAACAGAGCTTTGTGGACCAAAAAGATGACTCTAGTGAGGAGACACTGGATGATGACTCTCTAGAGGCAATTGTCATGCAAAGGATGTGTCCCAAATGCAGGTTAAGTTACAAAAGGGCTCTCAATTGATGGGAAATAGTATTACAAAGATGTACAGAGACGCCTTAAGCCAACCAATAGCTACAACAAGAGGCCATACCCAACTGGTCCCAGACAGCAGCCATTTTTGGCTGGACTACAAGCCACTAGAATGCATTCCAAGGGTAAAAGATCTCTGCATGAGTTCGGACCACCTAATTATTATGGGATAGAAGGAAATTATCCTGAGAGAATGCCTGAATTGGGCCCAAGTCAAGGAATCAGAGCCAGTAATTGGCCTCCAAGGTCAACTTCGAATAAGATGCAAGGTAATTACCCTAAAACAAGGCCTGAATTGGGCTCAAGACAGGGTGCCAGAGCCAATGAATGGCCTCAAAAGTTAGCTTGAAGGTGGTTTCAAAGACTAGGAAAGCAAGTTCAGCAACTGGACCAATGAGTTCATGGGTATCCGGGGTGCTAAACTGGTTTGTCATGCATAACAAGCCTAAGAAGATACCTGCACAAAAGAGTATCCTTGGAGACAAGGACAAAATGTATGAGAGCCGAATAATTGGCAGAGTCAGAAGCGTACGCTTCGAAGGATGGACATTTGTTCGGCTCTAACCTGCACGATTAGGAGGCCGACTACAATTAACAGGCCGAGTAACTATGGGGCCGAATAAATGAGCAGTTTGAGAGCGGAAAGTGAACCAGGCCCCGAGGCCCTGGAAACGAGTATAAATAGAGGAATAACAGCCAAAGAAAGGTATGTGAGAATTATTTTGCTTAACTTAGAATACAAGTAACCCTGAGTGCAGAAACTAACTTGCCCGTCGGAGTGCTAATTCCGGCATCCCCAACCGGAGTGTTTATTCCTTTTCAGGTGACTATAAGAGAATCACTAACGTCCTCCAGGGTCAGAAGGGTATTTCCAAACCACTTCTCCACAATTGGCGCCGTCTGTGGGAATACTCAAACACATCTATGGCGGGCATAACGGAAGACCCTCCGATAATCACTGATGAAAACACGCAGAGAGACGACCTCACTCCAACAAACATGCTTGGACCGGAGACTATCCCTGCAAGACGCGCTTTGAACTTCACCTCACCCTCGACTCTAGAGCATGAGGCAATACAGGCGATCATAGAACAAGCAAAGCAAAACGAACAGAGGTTGGAGAACATGATCGCAGAGAACGAACGTCTCCGTCAGGATTTGTCCTTAGAAGTGGCAAAGTCCAAACAAGTTGTACACCAAGATCCGGAACGACCGGTGAGGGCAGGTGGTTGATGATCTCGAGCCCGACAATAAGACATTGATAGCGACTCCGACTCATTATCCCCGGAGCCCAAGAAGAAGGGACGATCTGAAACTTTCAGTTCTTCTGAAGAGAGTCCCCGTATAAGGCATAAGCGAAGAAGAAACAATTTGGATGAAGATCAACACGATCCTTTTGTCCGACAGATTGCATAGGCAGTGCTACCCAAGAAATTCAAAGCGCCGTCATTCACCCTGTACAACGGTAAATCAAACCCCACCGATCACATCCGTCATTACAAGCAAGCCATGACACTGCATGCAGATGACGAGGCTTTGATGTGCAGAATATTTCCGAGTAGTTTGGGACCACTAGCTGTCAGGTGGTATTACAAACTGGAGCTGGCTTCGATTAAAAGCTTCCATCAACTTCAAAAATCCTTCAGGGCAAAGTTTATCACTAATGAGGTCCAGCCAAAGCAAGCCGATTCCTTCTGGGCAATGCAGATTCAACCGGGGGAAATCCTTCATGCCTACTCGACGCGATATTGGGAATGTTTCAATCTGGTAAACAATGCTTGCAATGACTCCATGGCCATCACCGCCTTCAAGATGGGGCTGCATCCTGACAGTGCCCTCCGCAGCTCTTTGACCAGACGGCCCCCTAAAACAGTTTGGTCGTTGATGAAAAAAGTCGAAGAATACTATAAAGTGGAAGATGATGCCTTAAGGGTTAAAGCCGGCAATGTGACCAACAAGACAGCTCCTACTGAAATTGCTTAGCCGTTAAACTCTGTAGCACCTCAAAGCCTTGAACCACGGCATCGGGCAAAACGAGATAAGAGACGGGATTCTCGCCGATCAAGCGACCACTGCTCCCACCGAGAAAGTGAACAATTGCAAGTTGATAGTAGGCGCACGAGGCGCGTCGACAAGAAATATACGGAGTTGACAGAGCCGATCAGTGTGGTTATGTCCAAAACCTAACACCTTCCATTCTTCAAGTGGCCGTCGAAAAAGGTTGGACCTCCTGACACGAGAAGACAGGATAGACGGTGTGAGTATCACAAGGACCATGGCCATGATACTAAAGGATCACCTGGAGGAATTGGTACAAGATGGCCGCCTACAACAGTGCGTCCGAAAAAGTAACCCAACCCAAGCAATAGCCTTAAGACAGGATTCACCTCTGCTCGGCGTGATCCACATCATATACAGCCTGCCAATGTCATCGGCGGTGCATACGATTCAGTCGAAGCTCGACCCTTAAAGTCAACTCACTTCGGCTAAACGGCCCCATGAAGCTGCAAGCATTTCTTTTGATGATTCAGATCTGGCCAGAGTGACACTTCCTCACATCGATCCCTTGGTAATTGAGTTACGTGTAAACCGATTCACCGTTGAACGCATACTCATTGATCCGGGTAGCACATCAGAGGTTATGTATTACAAGACATTCACCAAACTCGGCTTCTCATAATCAGATCTCTCTCCGGCTCCTTATCCATTATTCGGCTTCAATGCCAATCCAGAATACCCATTGGGGAAAATCACATTACCAGAGCCGGTTCCCGAACAGTAGACGTAGAATTCTTGGTCGTCAAGCTGCCATTGCCATACAATCTCATTATGGGGTGAACTTGGTTGCACACCATGCAAGCCTTGTCGAATACATATCATCGGCTGCTACGCTTCCCGATGGAGCGGGGCATTGAGCAAATCTGTGGCTTCCAGAAATCGGCACAAGCATGTTATCTCCTTGTTGAAAAAACACCAAAGGAGCTGCAGGTGAATTCTATTGAGGTGCTAGATCAAGAGAGCATCGACGATGTTGGGTGGCTCCCAAATGAAAAGGCCACGGAAGGCTTAGATTGAGTTGAAATCGATGGCAGCCCAGACAAATTCTTCATGGTCAGCGCATCCCTGAATCAGGCCGACAGACAGCAGCTAATCTCTTTCCTGCTCAGCAACATCGATATCTTTGCGTGGACTCCATATGAGATGCCGGGTATAGATCCGTCCATTTCACAGTACCATTTGAATGTTGATCCTAAGTGCAAGCCGACCATTCAGAAAAGCCGACGGTCAACCGCAGAGCACACTGCCGCCGTTGTTGAGGAAGTTGACAGGCTGCTTGAAGCGGGGGCAATCAGGGAAGTGACCTACCCTACATGGCTCTCTAATACAGTGGTGGCGAAGAAGAAAAATGGGACTTGGCGAGTGTGCGTCGATTTCACAGACCTGAGCAAAGCCTGCCCCAAGGATTGTTTTCCCCTACCCAGAATTGACCAACTTGTAGATGCGACGACACGCCATCAGCGTACGAGCTTCCTTGATGTTTACAGAGGCTACCATCAGATCGCCATGCATCTTGAGGACCAAGAAAAACTACATTCCTCACCCCAAGAGGAACCTACCGCTATAAGGTTATGCCTTTTGGGCTGAAGAATGCAGGGCCAACTTACCAAAGGCTGGTCACGGCTATGTTCAAGGAGCAACTCGGCTGCACTATGGAAGTGTACATTGATGACATGGTGGTCAAGTCCAAAGAAGAGCAAACCCATCTAGCCGATCTAGAAGAGACGTTCGGCATCTTACGTAAATAAAAAATGAAGCTGAATGCTTCCAAATGTGCGTTTGGGATCGGCTATGGCAAATTCTTGGGGTACATTGTCAACCACCGAGGAATCGAAGCCAACCCAAGGCAAATCACAACAATCTTAGAACTCGGCTCTCCTCGATCGGTCAAGGAAGTTCAGAAGTTAATGGGGATGGCTGCCGCACTCAACAGGTTCATCAGTCGGTCCACAGATCGCTACCGACAATTCTTTCATACACTACGGCAGGGTAAGGCTTTTGAATGGACCGTCAAATACGAAGCCGCTTTCAACGGCCTCAAGACCTACCTCCGCTCAGTACCACTCTTGACAACACCTACTGCTGGTAACCCACTCATTTTGTATCTGGCAGTTTTCGACAGGGTCGTCAGCGCAGTACTGATAAAGGAAGAGCTAAGGGAGCAGCGACCAGTGTATTATGTGAGCAAGGCAATGGTGGACGCCGAAACACGCTACCTTTCGCTGGAAAAACTCATCCTAGCCCTAGTCATGGCGGCAAGAAAACTGATGCATTACTTCCAGGGATATAGCATTGGGGTGCTAACAGATTATCCTCTTCGATCAGTACTTTGAAGTGCAGAAACATCAGGACATGTTTCAAAATGGGCACTTGAACTCGGCCAATACAACATTCAATTTCTACCTAGAACCTCAATCAAGGGACAGGTGCTTGTCGACTTCGTTGCCGAATTCACTGGGGGTCTTGCCGATTTCAAGTTCGATGAGATTCGACCGAAGCCGAATTAGAGAATTTATGTTGGGGACATTTGGCAGTTGTACTGTGATGGATCATCCAATCAGCGGGGCAGTGGAGCCGAAGTTGTAATCATGGCTCCCGACGGCGTAATAATTGAGCA